AAAAAAAAAAAAAAAAAAAAAAGGAAGTGCGTGTTCAGTGACTCAGGGCCTCGCCACACCAATGTCGAAAACTGCATTTTCGACATTTTCTCCTCGCCACACAGCATGTCGAAATCCGAGATGCAAAAAAAATTCAGGAGCTGTCAGGGAAAGAGTTTCGACACCTCCTCTCGAGAAGGGCTCGTTTCCACTTCAGGCCTGCAACTTGGACATTTTCAGCAGTCCTCGGATGGGATGTCGAATTCCTGCCCGAAGGTCGAAAAAGAGAACGCACCAAGGCTTGTCCTATCTTCACCCCAGTTTGTCTCTTTTGTGCATACACTGCATACGACTTGTGAGTTCTTCACTTCCACATGCTGTGTGGCCAAGAGGGTTTTTCTGTCGAAAGAGGGGATGTCCAAAATTTCCTGACATAGGGCCTAGTTGCACTACTTGCCATCCGTCACATTTCGTGGCGGATGCGTGGAGAGTGGAAAAACTGAGAATCGCATMGAACTCGAGTCCTGGTTGCACTTATTGGCCACTATATTTTTTTTCTACAGAAAAGTTAAAATTTTTTGTCTACCTGATGTCGACTCGTGAAGCCCTGCACTCTCCAGAAAGCTGTTTTGTGGAGAGGTCCGAGGACCWCTCTCCACAAACCGCCGTGCACAGGCRGGGAAACCGAAKTCACTCTCCACAACTTGTGTCTACGGTGTGGCGAGCCGTCTGACACATTTTGCATTCGCYRAGTTTGGTGAGTAAGTGCAACCAGGCGCCTACTCTCCAAACTTGGCCTATGGAGAGTAGTGCAACTAGGCCCATATGTCGAATGGTGTGGCGRGGCCCTCAATGAGCGCTTTGGTAGTAGGCTTTGTTTTGTGCTTTCTTGTCTTCTTTGGCTTCTTCTTCGTGGTCTTCTTCTCTCATTTGTTTCTTTCTGCGTTGCTCTGTGTGCAGACTCCGTATCACAATTCGTAAGTTAATCACTGTGCTGTGGAGGCAGTTATTGCCCCAAGCTCACAAGATCGAATCCGCCAAGATATAAGAAGATAGGAGGGGGAAAAAGACACAAAGAGAAAGAGACCAGCTGCACGCCACGCCGCCAACGCAGTCACCAGCCCGGTTGCTGCTCCTTACACCATCCCTAACGTTTTCTTGGTCTGCTTATCGCAGTGGTTCCGTCTGCAACGGCCAGAGACGGTGGTGGTTCTCTTAAACAGCTGTGGTTTTGTTGCTTCCGGTCCTTCCGGAGACTCCCCTTGACCGTGGGTTGGTCCATTGTAACCAAGAACAACAACAAACAGGATCATGGCGAAGGTTYTRATCCAGAAGAACMGAGTCCTCATYGCGCTCTTCCTTTTCTGCCTAATGGCCGCTACTGTGATCCCTGGAGTCTATGCAGAACCTCTAGTACGCTACAACACGTACGACACCCCTTCACAATGCGAGGGCTTGTGCGAGGACCACTGCTCCGGTCTCACAGATGTCCTGTCCTGGAAGCTCGGCTGCCTCCACACTTACCATTGGACGTGCGACGGCACAGAAGTTTGCACTTGCACTATCTGCTACAAGGGTGCTTTTTGCGGGGAGTTTGGGTGTTGAAAGAGGACCACTTTGGACAAGCATTCCCAAAAGGAGCAACGGAGGGACGGAGGGACTGAGGGACTGAGGCACTGAGGGAATTAGCTTTCGTTTCATCCTGGATGTCAGTGCCCACAAGTTCCTCTGCATTGAGGTCCCAATGGAGGAAGACAAGCAGATTGATCTCCACACAGATGGCCACAGTGGAGAGAGGCCAAATATATCGTTGACATGGATCGACGTCTGCAAAGTGGTGTAGAGTCTGTAGACAGATTGTTCTTGCTGGTGTGTACCGAATGCTTTTGTGGAGAGAGGCCAAATATATCGTTGGCATGCTTTTCAACAGTTTTTGTTTTTGCATCTTCTTGATTTCTCGGTTGGGGGCATGTGGATGATGTGGTTATGGGTGTAGAAGTGTGTGCATAATTGAAGGGGGCGGCTAACTTGAAGGAGCAATGCCATGTGTAGATCAGGAGTCCGCACCCTGACATGCTTCTYATCACTATTCAGTTTTTTGCATCTTCTTGGATTGAATTTCTCGTTTGGGGGGAAATTGGAAGCATGTGTCAGTGGCCAGGGGTGAAGGAGCTTGTCCAGACTGGATGATGCRGTTAAGGACCATGATGTGGGTATGACAGGAGTGACGAGTCCTTAAACATTAAGCAATATGTGCAGTACTGTGTACGTTTATCTAGAAGAGTACATGTTTGCAAAAGGAATGTGGGTGCTGTGGTGCTTTCCGAAGGGGGTCGGTTTAGAACACATGTGGACTCGTGGGCACTGCCAGGCTGTGCCAGCTAGGAGTGAGGGAGGCACCTCGGCTTAAGTTTTTTTTTGTGTTTTGATCTCTTCTCTGCTTCCGGCTCTCCTTCTGAAATTTTCAACTCGGCGTCGGACTCTTGCATAGAGGAGCGGTACTTCCGCTGCCATTTCTCTTTTTACTTTTTCTCATTTGCCAAAAACTCAAAAAGAAAGCAAGTGCCTTTGGCACTAGCCGCACTACCACTCAACCCTGCTTGAACCTCCGTTCTGCCTTTCATTTGTGAGTTGCTCTCTCTCTCTCTCTCTCTATCTCTCTCTCTCTCTCTCTCTCTCTCTCTCTCTCTCTGTGTGTGTGTGTGTGTGTGTGTGTGTGTTATGTCAACTGACTCACCTCTTTCCCTGGTTTTCCCTCTTACACGGTAGTCTGGACAAAACATCTCAAAAATGATTTAAATGTCTTTCTCTTTCTCTGTGCAGATGCAAGAAGAAGTTTAGCCTTTCCTGATACTGTCTGCCAGTGCTATACAAATGATGATCACACATCATCACAGTAATGAATATATCGGGAACGGCGGGTATTTAACTTGCTGGGCATACACTGTGTACATGGACATTGTTTTTGCATTGGCCCAACAGCGCAGAGGCGCAGACGCAATCAATGTTCAGCGTGCAGACCGATGCAATGCACACCAAAATAGTAAAATAGACATCCAAACGAATGTCGTTTCACCGATTGCTCCAGCACATTCCCATACTCCCAATTAAAATCTCTCAACGAAGTTCCATGCTTGGCGGTTGAAACCATTAATGGATATTGTTTTTGCATTGGCCTTGGAGCCCAATGCACTCAATCACTACTGGGCCGCCCACTCAAAGCACACACCAAGTGCATAGGTGCTACAGAAATAAACCACTTAATAAGTTAATATGAAACCCTTTGATTCAATTAATACTTGCTGAGCCAATTCGGACATTCAATCACCGTTGGTCTGCAACAACTCGTCCGCTTAGACTGCTTAGTGGTCTATTGAAATGACCCACCAGCTGCATACGTCCATCACACACACACACAACAAAAATTAAACATCGGCCAATAATATGATAATGCACACGTTTATACATGCTTCGCTATCTATGCCAAATAGGATGGTACTGTTTCTGTTCGTTGTAGTGCTAAGGTGCGAGTTTTTTTTTTGGTGGTAATTCTTGGGTTATACGATATAGATACCCGGAATTATAAGGCATGACAAACCGCATAATATTATTGCGATCCATGGAATGACAGCAATTGATATACAAATAGAATCTGAGAATCCCCATTGGCGATTGCCACAGCGTATAATTCTCTTTGTGTGTAAAACAACAACAATCTATACACGAAACCTGTCAAAAAAAAAAAAAAAAAAAAAAACCCTTCAAAACAACTGCGCATTGCAGGAAAGGAAAAGAAAAAGTGAATTTGTGAAATACGGTGGACCAGGTTCGTTGTGTACGCTTGACACAAATCAAACCAATTAATATTCAATCTCCTGCAATCCATTGTCACATTACAAAACAGCATTAAAAATAGAAACAGCTAATCTCAGTTATGCCCCTCGGAGGGCATACATGAAACACAATCTGACCTGACGAAAGTCGGAAAACTCAAATAAAATTCAACAACCTGCAAAGACCGCAATGAAATAATTCCTCAAATTCTCACTTCAACAGTCGGGTCATGTTGAACTGGCCACGATATCGCACTTCACTTCTAGGTTCAATTCGTAATCTTCAGAAATGAGTCTAATGACACTGTGAATACATATACCACAACACCACCTTTCTCATGTCATCTCTCCGAAGGCTTGGCCGTGTAGCCGGACAAACCACAAAATAAACTTCAGAACATGATGAAGAATAAACAAGCTGACAATCTAAAAACAGATGCCACAAAATCACACGGTCTTCTGCTCCCACCTTGAGCATATCCATTAATGGAAGTTATATTTGCCAGAATCCATCAGAAACTGTTACGGAGATTTCGTTAAAATGGACATTTTATATCTTTTGAACCAGGGTTGCCGGCATTCAGGATGGGCCAAACGCTCGAACGTTCGGCACCCACTCTCGACCAGTGTATACGACCGTACGAATACGGGCCGTATGTATTCCCGTACGACTGTACGTACGGCCCCCGGCCCCCGGTACGGGCCGTATATCTCTTTCTCTCTTTCTCTCTCTCTCTCTCTCTCTCTCTCTCTCTCTCTCTCTGTGTCTCTCTCTCTGTGCCTGGGTTTGTGTCTGACCACCGCCCCCGAATTGCCCAAACAAGCAGAAGAAGAAGAAGAAGAAGAAGAAGAAGAAGAAGAAGAAGAAGAAGAAGAAGAAAGAAAAAAAAAAGCACAGAAGAAGAAGAAGCAAAAAAAAAGAAAAGCAATTACCTTGGCAAAATTTTTAGGACTTTAACTCCATGTCAGTCATGAAAAAAATGAGAAAAAAAATCCTGATTTTCTTTTATTTATTTTTATGAGTTGTAAATGAAGTCAAATTCAAAAAATAAAAACGGGCTGTAGGGCTTTCAAAAGCCTACTAACCCATGTATTTATTTTTTTGTTTCACCTATTGTTTTACCCAAAAAAAAATATCAAAAAAATCGGGCCTCAAACTGGACCTAGCGGCCGCGGCTGCGGCCGAATTGCCCACGGCGTAGGCCGCGGGTGTCACATAGGTTGCCGCTTCGTTCGCTCCACGAAGGATGCTTATCTTCCTCGCTTTTGCGCCTGTAAACTGGCGTGCTATGCTGTGATCAGGGGATGTGACTTCTCCGCCAGTGTCGGGCTATCTGCGTCTGGTCGGTTCGGGGTCATCTACGATCTGTCTCCAGTACCTGCTTGACCTGCTTCTCTTGCACAGGGATCTTTTGTGCTCCTGTTGAGCTCTAATGGCAGGATCTCTCTCCATGTTAATGAGCCGTGAAGCACTGGACGTGGTTTGTGCATGTGTGTCTGTCTCTTGTGTTCTGTTGTCTTGTGCTTTGTGTTGTCTGTGCTGGAATTTGGACGCTGTTCCTTTACGGATTCTGCCACTTTCCCTTCGGCTGATGAGCGTCTGCTGTGTTCGACCGATCTATTGTCTCATCCCTTTTCCGATGGAACTCTATCCTCGTGGGTGCTTCCATGCTCGTCTTCAAGGCTTGGCATCGGATGTAGTCATGGTATGGGTAGCTGGGTTCGATTGCACTGGGGTAGGATAGACTATTTAAGGAGGCAAGGCTATGGTATTGGCCTCCTAATTCGACCTGAGTTCGCCGATGTTCAGGATACCTCCTGATGACGCTATTGGCAGGGTAGTAGAAACGGGTTGAAGGATGGCTGCGTTGGTTTGAGGATCGATATGGTGGATTGAGTCTTTGAGACTTTGACTCTTTGGGTTGGAATTTGACGCCTTGTGTATCATGCTTTTGTGCTCAGGCTTCTATGCTCTCTTCAGGTTTTGTATTCAGTTTGAATTTTGCGTGCGTCCAGGATTTTGTGATATCGCCGACCATATCGGTGTATTTCCATCTCTCTCTCTCTCTCTCTCTCTCTCTCTGAGTCTCACACACACACACACACACACACACACACTCTTACTGTTGTGCATTTTTTTTTTCACTCTTTGTTTTTCGATTGATTGATTGATTGATTGGTGGGAGCGGAGTCACCCCTTTCACCCCCCCACTATGTGACAACCGCGGCCTAGACCGCGGGCATTCCGGCCGCTGTGGCCGAGAGTCTCGGCCACGGCCACGGCCGATGAGGCCCAATCTGCGGCCTGTTTTTTTAATACTTTTTTTTTACCCCTAAAAATACTTTAAATATATATATATGGGGGTGTAGGGCTTGGAAAACCCTACACTCCTATATTTTGTTTTTTAGAATCCAACTTCGTTTACGATTTTAAAAAAATCAAAAACTAAATTCGATTTAAACAATATATATATACATATATATCATAAAGAAAAGTAGGATTTTTTTTTTTCACTTTTTATCATGAGATATATGATCTCTGAGTTGACCTGTATTTTTTTTTAGAAATGAATTTCTATTTTTTGCAGGGAAATGAGGTGTTTCAAAAAAATAAAGATGCAAAATTTGAAAACAAATAAACAAAAAAAGAGTTTGATTGATTGATTGATTGAATGATCGAGTTTGAGTGTGTGTGTGTGTGTGTGTGTGTGTGTGTGTGTGTGTGTGTGTGTGTGTGTGTGTGTGTGTGTGTAATAATGCATAAGCAACCATAGCAACCCGTATACGGGGATCTCCATTTAGCACGGAATACAAATTGATCCTTCATATGGGGGAGGGAACGTACCTTGACGTCATAGTGTCGTGACCACCATCCCTGCAAAACAATCAAGGTAGCATATACGAGACGAGTGGGAGAGAGGTGGGGTATCTGAGGGGAAGAAGGAGAAGGAGGACCAGGAGCATGATGGGCAATGCCATCAAACACTAGTGGTATTGCTAGTGGAGGAGGGGTGGCGCATCCCCTAAAGCGCTTTTCGCCGCTTGCGCTGGTCACGGCTCATCAGACGGTGATATGCCTCTGGCTCCTGAGTAGAAGACAGGAGGGGGAGAGGGAATAGGGAGGAGAGGTAGTGTAGGGAGCACAATCAGGAGGAGCAACAAGCAACTTACCGTGTGCTCATTGAGGTTGGCTTCAGCAAGGAGCTCGTCGATAGCTGCCATCTCTGCCTGCCACCTCTTTGATCAGTCGCCCAAGCGTGATCGGAGTGCAGATGTGGCTCTGATACTGACGATCAGGCAGGGACACTATCTCTCCACAGGAGTGAGATTAAGGAGGAATGGAGAGTGGGGAGGAAGAGATGAGCGACCACCTTTCTCAGGTCGCAATGGCGGTTGTATCGCAGCCGCGCGTAGCACCGAGGCTGTGGTCTGGCTGGGTAAGAGAGTTGGAGTGCGAGTAGAGCAAGAGCAAGCATTGCACATGTCGCCAACAGTGGGAGGTGCAGACTGAGAGAGTCTGCTCACCCATTGGCCAACATTTAAATGACAGGGGGAGGGTGTGTGCGAGAGGACGGAGTGTGGGAGCCATGGTAGGGCCGGGTATGAGGGGTMGTGYAGWGTGGGTCTGCTGGTGGCAGAGGTTATTAGCAGGAGGTATGAGTYTGACGCAGTATGTGGGTAGGGAGGGGATGTGTGTGTGTCTATGATTTACGTGGGGATTGGCGGGG